ATAGCATATATTTATCATTGTTTATGGTGAGAACACTTGAAATTAATCCTTAAACAACACACAGTATATTATTTACTGTGCAATAGGTCTTTCAAAAAACAAAACAAATGAACAGGCAACAACAAACAAGACTTCTGGTCCTCCTGTCAGAAACCTGTACACTTGGACCAACACCTCCCCATTCTGCCTCCACACCACCCATCCCTAGGCTGTAATAACCCCATCGTCCTTCCTGTGACCAACTGTTTAGATCCCAGTCCTAAGACAGCATGCAACAATGCCTTTCTGAATCTTTCTCATTTCACACAACTCGGCATCTTACTATCCTAGTGTGCTAGATTTGAAGCCTGGGGATAAAACATCTCGTTCAAGACAATTTACTCACTTTTAAGACAATTTCTTAACTATCATATACTTTGAATGCTTTGCTATTTGGTGTGTGTGTGTGTGTGTGTGTGTGCGCGCGCGCGCGCGCGCGCGCATTTACACGAGTAATGGTGCATGAATGTGTGTACGTGTCTATGCATATGCCTGTGGAGACCAAAAAATTGACATTGGTGTCTTCTTCAGTTGCTTTCCACTTTATTTTTTGAAACAGGCTCTCTCACTGACCCAGACTCACTGATTGCTGAGAGTGTCTGGCCTGTGAGCCCCAGGAATCTCCCTGTCTCCACTCTCCAGCACTGGGATTACAGGTGAACACTGCTGTTCCTGGCCTTTTACATGGCTTCTGGGGATCCAAGTTCATGTCCCCATACTTATACAGCAGGTGCCATACCCATTGAGCCATCTCTCTACCTTGAAATGCTCAGACATTTTACAGAATACAAAATGTGATTGTGTTTTAAAGATAAATGTATTCATGATGTCATTTATTCACATTCCTCTGTCTCTGGGTGCCTCTCTCGGTGGATTCTCACCCTCCTTATGGTTAATAATTCCTTTCCCTAAAGAAAACCACATAGAGTTTTATTTGTTCATACTAATAGCAAGGAGACCTGTTCTTTTTACTTCTTAATTAACCAGTTGTGAAAGAGAAAACTTGGGGGGGATCAATGGCTTTTTACTTAAATTGTAAATTTTGTTTTAAAAGAAAAAGTTCACTCTCCAAATATGTAGACTGGAAGTCTTGCACAGAACTACAGTTTAGTAAGACCAAATGTTTCTTTGTGTTAAAAAAAAAAATTATAGCCGGGCGCTGGTGACGCACGCCTTTAATCCCAGCACTCGGGAGGCCAGCCTAGTCTACTGAGCAAGTTCCAGGACAGCCTCCAAAACAATACAAAGAAACCCTCTCTTGAAAAACAAAAAAAAATTATAAATACATTAAGTAGAGCCAGGTGTGGTGTCACACATCTGTAATCCTCATACTTAGGAGGCTGAGGCAAGAGGATCAGGAGTTCAAGGTCTGCTAGGCAACATGGAAGCTTGTCTTAAACAAACAAGAAGCCAATAAAAGGGGGGAGATATATGATATATACATATTAACATGTGCAATGTATACAGGTTCACTCTTTGAAGCCTTCATGGCACCTAAGAAAAATTTAATTCAATGATAATATTTTAATATTTATCCAGTGAAGTGTCCTTGGGACTTTATGAAGTCACCAGAAAGAAGCAGAAGGTGAGACCAATATTAGGGTTTTAGTTAGGTAGATAAGGTTAAGTACAGCCAAACACAAATGAACCAGGTAGGCCACTATATGCAAACCTTGCTTTACACAGTCAATCACAAAAATAATTATGCAAGGACCACAGCTCATGATGAAATGTTAGAACCTGGCCCACTGCACCCTCTTTCTTGTTGGTACAGAAGGAGGGAAAGGAGCAGACTTGGGTGTGAGTCACCCACCCTGCAGAGCTGACTCCAACCTGACTGTACATGGACTCCCTGCAGCCCAGAGTAAAACATGTTGTCAGAAATTTAAGTCAGTTTATAGGTAGTTTCTAAACTTGCCTCAGTTTTCCTTGTAGAACAGTAGCTTTCTGACTAGGTGATGTATCTTTTTTGTTAATTTTTTATTCCTGTGCATTGGTGTTTTACCTGTATGTCAGTATGAGAGTGTCAGGTCCTCTGGAACTGGAGTTCCAGACAGTTGTGAGCTGCCATGTAGGTGCTGGGAATCAAACCCAGGTCTTCTGGAATTGCAGCCAGTGGTCTTAATGACTGAGCCATGCAGCTCCTGGGTGGTATGTCTTTTAAAGAGCATATTATTTAGCCGACAATCCCAGCCTGAGTCCAAAGAATTTATCTTATCTTAACTTGTATTGTTTTCATCCTTTATAGTGCTAGACTGAAGCCAGGGCCCTGTGCAAGCTAGATGAGTACTCCACCACTGAGGGACAGCCTCAGTCCTGTACTCAGCCGTCGCAGTCACGCGCTGGGACCCTATGACAAACAGTCAGAGTCAGACGTGGTGGTTCAAGTCTATGACCCCAGCCCTTTGGAAATGGAGGCCGGAGGCTTGGGAAACCAAGGTCATCCCTAGCTACACAAATTTGAAGCTGGTTTGGGATATCTAAGTCCGTCTCAAAAGTCTGGAGCCAGGGCCAGTGAGGTGGCTCACGCAGACGAAGGTGCTTGCATCAAGCCTGATGGGGACTCATGGGAGACGGAGAGAGCTGGCTCCCACCCACTTGCCATCTCACCTCACATACACCTGGTGCACACACCAGACATGCACTTCTTAAAAAGCAAAGATGGCATGGCTCCCTGTGCTCTCCGGTCTGTAGTCTTTGCTGAGGCTAGCCCCTAAAACACTGAATATTCTCCCCTCATCCCCCAATTTGGGCTAGCGCTCAGGCTTCTGGAGTCCTTCAGGATTCTGAGTGTCACTCTGTCCTGGCTTTCAGGACCTGTCCCAGTGGAGCTGAGCCCTACTTTTACACTTGCTCTTACTGTTTGTTTTGTTTTGTTTTGTTGAGACATACCTCAGGCTAGCCTCTAACTCCTGGGCCTCCTGCCTCTATTTCCCAGATGCTAGGATGGCAGGTGGGCGGCACCACACCTAGAAGTCTTGCTCCTTTGCATTGCCACACTCTTGTAATGGGGATTCTATCAAATAATGAATTTAAATGCCCACTAATAGGAGATCAGGACTTCATACAAATCAGGTGCCCCCCAATCTTCTGAATTGTAGGTAAAATTTTAAATAGATTCATTTCTTCTGGGGAAAGGATTTAGAGCTCAGACCTATCCCTCAACAATAAACAAAGTGCCACTACACTGGATTATGGGTCTCTGGAAAACAGTGACTTCCATTCTCAGTTTCTGTCTGAAGATACCCCATGTTTGCTGAGAAATGTTTAATGGTTATAGTTTATTCTAGTAAAAATACATAGTGAATCAACTTCCACTACTCATGGTTTTCTTTTCCTGAATATCATGCTAAGCCCCTGCCTTTGTTCCCATCGCTGTGATGACACGTGTCTCCACTCCACTGGATGAAAGCAAGGATTTGTGGCAAAACCCTGAGTGTGGGAAGGATGGAGTGAGAGACGGGGTGGGCTCTCAAGTTTTATTTCTTCTTCTTCATTAAGTCTTCATTTGCCTTTCAAAATGTTTTCATTTCTCTATGTTTTACTTCATGGGGTGGTACAAGCATTATACCATATACATGTGGAGGTCAGAGGAAACTCGTGTGAACTGGCTCTCTCCTTCCACCATGTAGGTCGTGTAGCGTGAACTCAGGTCACCAGACTCGGCGGCAAGTACCTCCATCCACCATACGTCTCACAGACACAAGTCTGTTTATCTTTTAATAAGCACTTGGCAGTTTTGAAGTCTTAAAATGAGCTTTAAACCGGGATTTTTTCAATTATTTATTTATCTTAAATTACTTTATATTTTGTGTGTGTGTTTTGTTGTCTGTGTATATGTTGTTCACTATGTGTGTTCAGTGCCCACAGAGGTCAGAAAAGGGTGTCAGATCTTCTGGAACTAGAGTTACAATGATTGTGAGCTACCAAGTGGGTTCTGGGAAATCAACCCTGGATGCTATATAAAAGCATGCAGTACTCTTAACTGCTGAGCCGCCCATCTCTCCAGCCCATGTCCATTTACTTTGTAAGACAAGTCTTTACTCTATAGCTCAGGCTGACTTAGAATTTATTATTAGCCCAGTCTGGCCTTGAACACTTAGCAATCCTCCTTAGTGTTGGGGGGCTTATACCTAGGCAGGATTTTTAAAAAAAATACATCAAGATTTAGCTTCAAATCTTAGCTGTTCTATTTATTTAGTTTTGTCATCCTGGGGAAGATAAGAAATCTTTGGACTAGGCAAGCATGAGAACCTGAGTTCAAATCCCCAGCATTGCCTCCCAAAAGCCATCCATAACCCAGTGCTAGAAAGGTATGAGGACAGACAGACCCTGGGAGCTTGCTGGTCAGTCAACCTAACTGAATGGGAGTGTCAGGTTCAGTGAGAGACCCTGTCTCAAAAAATCAGGGACATGTTCAACGGTGACTTCTGGCCTGCACATATGGACTGGCAAACACACCTGCACATGCATGTGCTCTCACACATGCACCCACATACCCCATACACAAAATAAAAATTCAAAATGCAAGCTCACTAATTTTGGTAAACTGGTCTAGTCCATATGGTTATTAAGTGACAAAGCCAGAATAACATGGAGACTCAGAACAGACTAGCTCAATGTCATCTTTCCAGAGGGTTTTTGCAATCCTCAATGACACCCCAAATGGAACTCAATTAAAACAGTTCATTCCTTGTGAATATTTCAAGTAAGCACTCATACATACATACAGTAAGAGTCTGAAGTCACATGGCTGGTTTATAGGGTGGCTATTATTTCTGGCTGCCATCTAAGGAAATTCTTGTTTGTCTAGTTGACAGTTTTTAAACAGAGGCTTACAAAATTCTCCCACTCAAATTTTTATAGCATGCTTCTATTTCCAGAAGGATCTCTGCTCAGCACCACACTGTCCATTTATCTGTGCTCCCACTAGAAACAAGGTCTTAGCAGTTTTCACTCACCTTGTGCCTCGTCTCCAGGAGGAGACATCACATCAGCTTTTGGAAGTCTTCTTCCTGATTACTCTAGAGGGTCTATAAAAGACAAAATGCCGTTGACAATGACAACTACCTTATATCCTATACCATCCTTTCCCCATATAATTGTGTAATGAAATCTTACTGTACTTGTATTTCACTGTTAAAATTCCCTAATTGTTCAAACCCATGTCAAGTTAAAAAAAAAAAAAAAAGCAAGTCCTTGTGTCCCTTCCCTTCAGAGTTTATCCCTTTGGAGTAAATAAAGTAAGACTATACTGTCAAGACTTATCCATCATAAGATAATAACTTAAGACTATAGTTAGACCACTACACAATCAATTAGGGGCTTTGCTCCGTCAAGAGTTCAGAGCAGTTGCTCGGTCCCTACAATACTGAAAACTACAAGTCCAGGGTTGCATCCTCAGTGTCCCACACTGAAGGAAGTGTGCCATTCTAAAGTCACAAAAAACTACTTTAAGTGACAGGTGAGATGGGTTTGTAAGTAGTTTTTCTGTAGAGGGCTAATTGAGGTGATCTACCACAAAAACTAAGTTCAAATTAACTTGGAAAACACTCTGAAATTTGTATGTTTTTGCTTGTGGTGTGGCAGATTCCAAGTGGGCTGATTTTTTTAAACTTTTCTTCTCTGGATTCTGGGGCTATTCAGCTGCTCACTCCGCCCACATGAAAAGAGTTAGCATGAGATTAGTCACATTATCTCTTCATGAGGGTTAAGGGACATAGAGGCTAGAAAGAGGGAGAAGGAAGGGGACATGGACACTGTCAAGAGTTCCATCCTTCAATCTGAGTGAATCTGTGTTTATTGCCAGTTCCACTTGCTCTTTTTTAATTTTTCCTTTAGCATTACTATAAATCTCAAAATGTTGCCTTCATACATGGTGCTGTACTTTGTTCTAAGGGTTTAAAGTGGCAAGGCCAAGCCTGATACTGTATCCATCAGACACAGCTAGTAGCCACCCAGAACTGATGCATCTCCCACCAACCCCGAGCTCCCGGTCAATAACCCTTTGAATGATTATATTCCCCGAGCTCCCTCATGGTCAGCTTTTTTTAAAAAGAGAGAACACACCTTCTCTTCCCACTCCTCCTTCGTACTGGCTGACTACCAGGGGGCTGAGTGGAGCCCTGGTGATCTTTTGGACTAAGAAGTAGTGTGCCAAGCCTGAGCCACACAAAGGAACCTGAGTCCCTCACTGGAGTAACTTTCCAACAGCTCTGAAATGTTTGTCTCCATTTTGCTTACTTATGTTTCCAGTAATATGAGAAATAAATACCTCATTTAAAGCCCTCTTATCTTGGCTTTTCCCATCATATGCAAATGAGCCCAGTCCTTACTGATATGCTAGCCCCCTAGGAAGCTATCTAGAAACAAGATCTACTTTTAATTCTGGAACATTCTCACTTCCTCTGAGACTGTCATTTCCACTTACTGATGATAGATGCGCTACTCTTCAGTAGTCTAGTGTGTCCCCTCGGCTCTCATTTTCATCCCTTCCCTGTCCGATGCTCAATTTACACACACATTCATTTGAGCTCTTCAGCTAGTAACCGGCCACTCTTTGAGGAAAAGAAAGAAAGCTTGACCAAAATTAAGATTTCCATTTTTATCAGGCAGTGGTGGCACACACCTTTAGTCCCAGCACTTGGAAGGCAGAGGCAGGAAGATCTCTGTGAGTTATAGGCCAGCCTGATCTACAGAGCTAGTTACAAGGCAGACAGGGCTATACAGAGAAACCCTGTCTTGAAAAACCACTAGATAGGGCCGGGCCGTGGTGGCGCACGCCTTTAATCCCAGCACTCGGGAGGCAGAGGCAGGTGGATCTCTGTGAGTTCGAGGCCGGGCTGGACCGACAGCCTCCAAAACAATACAGAGAAACTCTGTCTCGTAAAAACCAAAAAAAAAAAAAAAAAAGAAAAACCACTAGATAAATACATTTCTGTTTCTTTATAGATTATAGAAAAACAGAGTTCCTTGAATTCAACAGTATTCATTAAGCACATGTAGTGTAAAAGGGGTGTGTGTGGTGGTGAGAGAAGTTTTTTACAAGGAACCAGTAGTCTAACAGGAGAGATGAGTCACACAAATAAATAGGACCCACGATGCAGTGTGAAAACAGAGTAAGCTCAGAGAACAGAGGATGAGATCCGGCTGAGCTATGCAGGAAATGGCAAAACAAACAAACAAAAAACAAGATCCCAAAAGAACATAGTGATGAGCACAGGTGGATGGATACTAAGAGCATATAAGCCACAGCAGAACACGGTGACAGCATGTAAGCCACGGCAGAACACAGTGACAGCATGTAAGCCACGGTGACAGCATGTGAGCCACGGCAGAACACAGTGACAGCATGTAAGCCACGGCAGAACACAGTGACAGCATGTAAGCCACGGCAGAACACAGTGACAGCATGTAAGCCACGGTGACAGCATGTGAGCCACGGCAGAACACAGTAACAGCAGAGCACAGGTGGATGAACCCTAGGAAGCAGGTAAGAACAGCAGAAGGACAGGCAGGCTGGGGCAGACAGAGGACCGTGGATATCTACTTGCAGGCTGGTATGCAGTGAAGAGAATAAAGAGTCATTGAGGGTTTTAGGCAGAGGAGCAACAGGTCAACCTTTGGGTAAGCAAATGACTTGAGTGCTATCCGGAGAGGCCAGCAACAAAGAAGCCAGTGAGGAGGGCCCTTTAATGACTCAGTGAAAGATAATGATGGCCTGAAATTTGAAAGCTACTATTAAAAAAGGAGGGCACAGACGGAAGTGGCTGCCAATGGTTCCTACATGAGCTGAATGCCTGCTTTGCTAAAAAAGATGAGTTGAGCTCTAGCAAAGAGTCAGAAGTAGAAGATATAGCAGTAACAGATTTTACAAAATGAAACTGACGGGGTCTGGGGAAGTAAAGCCGGCTGAACACACTGTAATAATGAACTTGGCCTGTGCACAGTGTTAATAGAGCTACCTTTATTTTTGCCAAATGTCATTTGGAAATGCACTGACTATGCTAAGAGGTAGGAACAGTGGCCACAAACAACCTTCAGAAAGACAAGCATTGCTGGGGTGGTGGCACACACCTATAATCTGGCACTAAGAGGCTGAGCCAAGAGGATCTACACAAGTTATAGTCCAGCCTGGGCTATATAGCAAAAGCCTTTCTCACCTCCCCCAAATAAAAGACAGAAATACTGCTAAGTCTAGAGGAATAGCTCAGTGATAAAATGTTGACCTAGTATGTGCAGTGCTCTGAGTTTACTCTTGAGCACTGGAAAAAGTGTTGAGGGGATTCCAAAGAAATATGGCCATCAACTAAATAGTGGCAGGACATTTACACAGCAAGGTTCTCCTCTCTCTGCCTCTGTCTCTCTCCTCTCTCTGTCTGTCTGTCTCTATCTGTCTCTGTCTCTCTACTCTGTCTGTATATATCTATCTGTCTGAGTCTGTCTGTCTGTCTGTCTCTCTCTCTCGCGCACGCACACACACACACACACACACACACACACAGTCTTACTATGGAGTCCAAGCTGGCCTGAACAGAAATCTCTTCATAGCCTAGGCTAGCCTTAAGCATATGCTAACCCTGCCTCAGTTCCCTCAGTGCTGGGATTTTAGGCATGTATTACAATGCTAGCTAGCTTAGTTCCTTCCACAACTGACAAGTTATCCCTATATACATCTTTATGGACCATCGTTAATCACCCCATGCTCTATAAGAAATTCGAGGGGAGGGGACTTTTTAAAGAGCATGAAAATCGTATAATATTTGCCTCTTTGTTGCTCACCCAAACCATGCCAGCAGAGCCTGGGGCAACATGGAAAGGGCTTGGCATGAATCCTTAAATAGCTTTGAGCTAAGTAGGTCCCAAGGATGAATCCAAGATAGGTACTCCTTCATCTTAAGAGAATTCCTATAGGTGTCTCCAGATGGACAGATTTGAGCTCATCTTAAGAGAATTCCTATAGGTGTGTCCTGACGGACAGATTTGAGCCCTGACCAGCACTCCCCTCTATTGTCTGATTATTCTAGGAAGATCAACTCTCCATCAACACGGCAGGAACCAGCAAGAACCAACTCTCCAAGCTTTGAAAGCCCTGAGCAGAGTAGTGTGTGACCTGTTTAGCTTATCTTATTTGGGGCACTGAACATGCCTTAGAAATAAAATGGAGATTTTCTTTTTCTTCAGTGACAGTAAAGTGGTTTCTGGTACTTTCTCCACAGGCATAAGTGATTAATCAAGTCCTAGGTGCCTGACCACAGTGATACCACAGACGCGGGTGAGCCGCCTTTCTGTCTTAAGCAAACTGGGTGACTGGGGGAGGGGTTAAAAGAGGACAGCAATCTGACCCTGTCCCTGAGAGAAAACTACAAATGATTTTACATTTTATAAAAATCCAGAAACTAAGAAAAACATCAGACAAATCATATGGCTGTCCTAAAGTCAAAGCCAAATGCTCTTTTTAAAGGACCAAGATGTCCTCCACGGGCACTTGGCTGGGGGGTGGCAGGAGGGCTGAAGTTCAGGGTCAGCTTAGCTTCCTATGCAGCTTGAGGCCACAAGAGACCTTGTCTCTAAAACAAACAAACATGGAATGCTCTTCATCTCACCACCTGTGGGGGGGGGGAGGGCTATGAATTGGGTTTCAAATTACCTACAAATCTGAAACTGCATGCAAAAACGTTTCGTTTTACTTTTTCTTGGTTTTTCTTTTTTTTAAGGTACAAAGACTACTTTCCAGAGATCCTTGATCCTTTGCTCCCCCAAAAGCTAAGAATGACTGTTATCAAGGGAAGCATTAGAGGTTATTAGAGGAAGCAGCAGAGGGGGATAAGCAAGAGAGGACTCTGACATTCCTAGGATTCCCTGATGGCTGGACACCCTTAGGTGTAGGACTCTGGAGAAGGGAGAGGAGGGGGGAAGAGAGGATACGGGAGTCTTATCTCTTCTGCTCCAAAGAAATCAAGTGAATGCATGTGAAGTCTTTGCTTGGCGCTTTTCTGTTAATTCTTAGCTTGAAAACATTTCATTTCTATGTGTATTAACGGTTATAGCAGGGCTGGAGAGTTAAGAGCTTAGTGGTTAAGAGCACAAACAGCTCTTCCAGGGGACCTGCGTTCAATTCCCAGCACCTATATGGCAGATCACACCTGTCTGTAACTCCAGGATCCAACAGCTGCACAAAGATACAGGTAAGCAAAACACCAATGCACATAAAATAAAAATAAATAATTATTTTAAAGTTAATGACAGAGGCTGGGAATAGTTCAGTGGCAGAGTGTTTGCCCAGCATGTATAACAGTAAATTTAATCCCCAGCACTGAAAAAGATTAATAACAGCATGATCTTCCTTTCAAAAGCCTAAGTTTTCATACAGGTTTAGCATTATCTCTTTCAGAATCAAGGTATCAACAAAAATATGAATCTTAATTAGAGTTAGTGGATTATTTTGGGATAAAGGTATCAAAACCCTTTCTCTCTAATACAAAATTTCTCATCATTTATGTTGAATCCTTCCAAAGAAACCGTCACTGAAATATCAATATTCTGCATGGCATGAGTTTGTATTGAAAGGAGCTACTTGGAGAGGATAAGAGCACAAGGACCAGTCTGTACATCCATATGCTATTGCCTCAGCACCTAGGATACATGTAACTGCAGTACCAATTGTTATGGAATCAAAATAAAAACATGTAACTACAGTATCAAGTGTTATGGAAGCAAAATAAGACACATAAGCTTTCAAAACGCAGTAAGCTTTTGAGTGAAATTTAGTTTTTTTTTAATCACATCCCAAACCCCCATGAACTACTTAGAAAATGTTTCACAGATGACTGTCTCTGCGTAATGAAGTCATCTGCATGTATGCTCAGTTACTGTACATAGAACACTGATGACCAAAAACTCTCTACCCTTTTTCTTTGTCAGAGAGGCATAAACTAACTGTTCACCATCCCTCATCTTATCCATGCTGTAACGATTCTTAATCCCAAAGAGGCATGCACATGTTGGCTTAATGCTGCCTTGTAAATCTAGAATTCTATCATCCTTTCTTTAAAACTGTTCTTAAAATTTAACCCATCTTCAACTAAATATGTAAATGTACAGAACCACTTCACTCCCAGACGTCTCATGCGCTGACATCCTGCAAAAGGATATTAAGACATAATATAAACATTAATCAAGAAATGAACAATGGCATTACAAATTGTAACTCCTGAAGAAAAAGTTACTTATTTGAATGTTTGCTTTAAATAAATGTTGTCATGTTTTGAATTTGAGTTAGCACAAAAGATAAAGGCAGGTGTCTTTTGTTCTCCTCTAAGAACATTTTCCCTTCCCACAGCTCTTGCACTTACCTCATGGTACTTGCTGGGTTAGCTCATCCTCAGATCACAGCTGATCTGGAGTCTGAAAGAACTTAAAGATGACAGAAAGAAGCAGTGGAGAGGATCACCGTCCCTTGAAAGGAGACTGTCATATGCTAACAGGCTTTTAAATGAGGGAAACTAGTGTGTCTTCTAATTACATAAGCTCCAGGTCAACTAATCAAATAACTGAACCTGAGTCTAGTTTCAGAGGTGGGAGGCAGAGCCCTGCTTCAGTGGGACAGCTTCCGCCTCTTAGAGAAACTGAAGACTCACACACTGCAGGTACATATTTGAGAAGTAAAATATACAGCTCGATACCTTAAACACTGAAGAAAAGTACAAGGAAGAATTTAGTTCACTGCAAAGCATGAGCTTTCTACAGGGTATTCCAGATGTTCTGAACTGGCATTGTGTGCCCAACCCCTGACACCATCCTCACCCTAACCTGTCCAGTGGTCAGCTCTGTACAAATCACAGTACAACAGTGATTTTACTTCTTTTAAAGCAATACTGGCCAATGGTAAGCAACATATACAAAAACATATCTAGACTTTTACTGCATGATGAACACTATAGTCTTCTGAAATTAATAACAAAGCTATTAGGAGAAAATAAAATTAGCATTTTTAACACTTCGAGATATTTTAACCCAAATTTATATTAGCACACTAAAAAATAGAAAATATTACAATATTTTTTTTCTTTTGGTTTTTCGAGACAGGGTTTCTCTGTGACTTTGGAGGCTGTCCTGGGACTAGCTCTTGTACACCAAGCTGGTCTTGAACTCACAGAGGTCCACCTGCCTCTGCCTCCCCAGTGCTGGGACTAAAGGTGTGTGCCACCAATGCCCAGCCATTTACAATATTTTAAATAAAATATGACACAGAAGTTATTCATTTCAACACTTTTTTTCTTTTTGGTCAGTTTTGGAATAGTTTCAGAAAAAAAATCAGATCTTTACTGTAATTTAATGACCTATACTATTTTGATAATTTTTCCATTCAAATTATTTCATTTTTAATTGTACATGTTTATAGGTATGGTGAAATAATTCAGTAATGTAGTTCTGGTGCTTTTGGACATTATTTTATCTGGAAAAGTAGCTTTCTGGGGGCCTGAGAAATATAGCTTAGTTAAAATTTCTGGGCACAGGTTGCATAACTACAGATTTACATTTTAGAAACTGAGGTGTAATTCACAAACTGTACATAAAATTATCCCTTGGAAGTGACTAGTTCAGTATATCTTAGTATATTTACAAGATTATTTATTGTTTAAGAATTTCATGCATACATATATGTTTTGCTCAAATCCAACCCCCTATCCCCTCGTGCTGTAGAATATTTTTCCAGTGTGTGGCTTTCGTTTATGCTGCATTTGTGTGACTCTGTGAAGCTGGGTTGCTGTGCCTGTCTAAGCAGCTGATAGGCAAATAATGAGCTGCACGGTCAACAGTGAGGCAGGAGCAAGGACAGGCAGAGGGGATAAATGGAAGAAGAAATCTGACAGGAGCAGGAGAGAACAAGAAGAGGAGGATGTCAGGGGCCAGCCACACCACCCAGCTACCCAGCCACCCAGCCACCCAGTCACCCAGCCAGCCACACAGCTACACAGCCACACAGCCACACAGCCACACAGCCAGCCACCCAGCCACACAGCCACCAACCACCCAGCCACCCAGCCACACAGCCACCCAGCCACCAACCACATAGCCACACAGCCACCCAGCCACCAACCACACAGCCACACAGCCACACAGCCACCCACACAGCCACACAGCCACCAACCACACAGCCACACAGCCACCCACACAGCCACACAGCCACCAACCACCCAGCCACCCAGCCACCAACCACGCAGCCACACAGCCACACAGCCACCCAGCCAGCCACACAGCCACCAACCACACAGCCACACAGCCAGCCACACAGCCAGCCACACAGCCAGCCACACAGCCACCAACCACCCAGCCACCTGAGTAAGAGTGAAATTGAAATACACAGAAGAAAAGGAGAAAGCCCAGAGGCAAAAGGTAGGAGGGATAGATTAAGAAAAATTGGCAAGAACAAGTCAAGCTAAGGCTGGTCATTATAGGTAATAGGTCACTCTATGTGGGATTTATTTGGGAGCTGTGTGACAGGCCCCCCAAAAGAGTACAGAGTAAAGAGCCCAAAGAATGAGGAAAAAACAAAAGAAAACAACACTCTCCCCTCCCATTCCTCATCTATTGCCTCCCCCCACCATAAGTCTTCCTCATGCGGTCTTATTCCAAGCCTACTGAATCCATGGATGTGCCTGAACTTAGGACCATCTACTGGAGAATGAGCCTTTCTCAGAGGCCTGCATCCCTGAGGAAAAGTGACTGTCATCTGCAGCAGCCACCAACTGCTAATAGCTTCACAGTTAGACATGGGGCTCATGAGCCCCTCCTCAACCCATGCTGGGATTTTTGACTTTTTTTTCTTAACAGGTATCTGTGTAGCCAAGTCTAGCCAAAAATAACTTTGAACTACCTTTACCTCCAAAATGTTGGGATTAAAGACATTCACCAACACATCAGGTTTATCCAAGACTGTGTAAGCGTAATCACCACCAAGTGGTGGAGTGTTGGGTCCCAGGCCCCACAGATTTCTGTGCATTGCTTGTCAGCTGATAGCCACAGGTGCAGCCTGCTCTCGAGTCCTGGCTTACAGCCCTAGCCTTGCCCACCTGACATCAATATGTAGCACGAGGAAAACACAAGCTCTTCCACCTGGGGTTTTTTCACTGTGCTGTAAGCCTGTATATAAGCCTGCTCCCTCTTTACAGAGACAGAGAGATCTCTTAGCACTTGCAATAAAGACACACACACACACACACACACACACACACACACACACACACACCTGGCAATAAAGGTGGCAGACACATTCTCTTAGCACAAACAGTTGGACGTCTTGTCTTTCATTTCCCGATACCTTGGCCTTGCTCGTAGTATGGGTGTCACACTGGAGCACTTCTGTCATGCCTGGATTTTTTTTGGGGGGGGATAATAATTTAAAATGTATTGCTTAAGAATTCCATATGCATATACAATATATTTTGAGCATATTCATCCCAGTCCATGCCCACTTCCCTCCTCCAACATCCCCCCTTCCCCCCAACAAAACCCTTCAGCTTTATGACTTAAAAACTATATAGATGTAGATGTAGATGATGTAGAGATAGAGATAGAGATAAATCAATCAGCCGGGTGTTGGTGGCGCACACCTTTAATCCCAGCACTCAGCAGGCAGAGCCAGGTGGATCTCTGTGAGTTCAAGGCCAGCCTGGCCTACAGAGCAAGTGCCAGGATAGACTCCAAAGCTACACAGAGAAACCCTGTCTTGAAAAACAAAACAAACATATATATATGTATGTATGTATGTATGTATGTATGTATGTATGTATGTATGTATCACTGAGTACAGTCAGTGTTACATGTGGCTTTTTATATTTATTTACGTATTTATTTGGGGTTCTCAAGACAGGGTTTTTCTGTGTAGCTTTGGAGCCTGTTTTGGAACTCACTCTGTAGAGCAGGTTGGACTCAAACTCACAGAGATCTGCCTGCCTCTGCCTCCAGAGTGCTGGAATCAAAGGTGTGTGCCACCGCCGCCACCACCACCCAGAGCATGTGGGTTTTTTTTTCCTTTTTATAATTTTTAAATTTTATTTTATTTTTATATATTTTTTATTTAACTTTTTACACATGTCACTTTCAGTTCCCTCTCCCTCCCCTCCTCCCCCACCCCCCAATCCTCCCAGCCCTTCACCCCCACTCCATCCCCCCTCCGCTCCCCAGGGAGGGCAAGGGACTCCTTGAGAGATTTTCAGAGTGTGTCACATAATCCCAGGAAAGGCCCAGGTTCTTCCCCATGTGTCTAGGCCAACAGAGCATCCCTCCATGTGGTTTGGGTTCCCAGAGTCCTTCTGTATATCAGGAATAAGTACTGCTCCGCATGTGGGTTTTTTAGGCTTCCCTCCATGTGGTTTGGGTTCCCAGAGTCCTTCTGTATATCAGGAATAAGCACTGCTCCGCATGTGGGTTTTTTAGGCTTCCCTCCATGTGGTATGGGTTCCCAGAGTCCTTCTGTATATCAGGAATAAGCACTGCTCCGCATGTGGGTTTTTAAAGTGTGATTTCTGGGGTTGCAGCTTGGTCCTCATTGTTGTATGGCAAACAATTTACCAACAGGGTTACCTTCTCAGCCCTGAATGGCCTAGAACTTTCTATGTAAACCAGGCTGGACTCAAACTCACAAAAATCTGCCTGCCTCTGTCTCCCAACTGCTGGGATTAAAGGTGTATGACATCACACATGGCCAGTTATGTCATTTTAAAATATATAAATTTAATTTTATGGTGCTTGGGGGATGGTTAGAGATGCCCACGGAAGCCAGAAGAAAACATTAGATTCCTCTGGAGCTGGAATTACAGGCAGTTTTGCCCAATGTCGGTGTTGGGAATCAAAATTGGGTTTTCTGCAAGATTAGGAATCACTCTTGAAGGCTGAGCCATCTCTCCATCCCTGAGCATGTGGTTTTTTAATTCTTTATTCCACTCATATGTTGTATCACACTGCTGACTTTCATACGTTGAAACATCTTAGCACTTAGGGGTATATCCCACATGGTATATGGAATGACCTTGGTTTTGGTGATGATTTCATATGTACGACACCAAAATTCACACGCAACCAATATAAAAGTAGACAAGAAGCATATGCTAAACCAGAATCACTGAATAGCAAAGCAAACAACATACTGAAAAGGCAACCTATGGAATGGTCATGTTTCAAAAAGTTAATCTGGGACTGGAGAGACAGCTCATCGGCAAAGAGTTCTTGCCACTCAGTCATGAGGACCAGAGTTCAGACCACAGCACCCACATTAGCAAGTTCATAAAAGCCTGAACTCTACCTCCACAGCATCTGACTCCTCTTCTGGCTTCTGTGGAGACTGGCACACACGCACACACACACACACACACACACAGAGTACACACACAGGTTCCCACACATATAAGTAAATACATGTGAGAGAGAAAGACACCAAACACAGTGACATATGTCTTTAGGCAGTGGATCTCAGTGTGTCTGAGGCCAGCCTGAACTACATGATAGAGGTAGATAAAAGATAGTTCAGAAATTAAAAGCACAGGTTGCTCCTCCAAAAGACTCGAATTCAAATCCCACACCATGTGAATAGAAGAGTGGTTGCTGGGGGCTGAAGAAGAGGGAACAGAAGTGACTAAGCTATGGGAATGATGTGTCCATCGGGCATAAGTGTGAGACACGCTGTGCAACATGGCAGCGACAGTCTGCAACAACGCAGTGCTCTTCGGTTCTAGTTAAAAGACAGATTTCATGTTAAGCTTCACCTCAACAGTAAATCAATTTGGTGGTGAGCAACTGATTGCATAACCATATAAGATAACTCATGAAAAATGTTTTTCTTCCAAAATAACCCTGAAAGCACAAACGGAAGGGAAGGTTCACAAAAACTGAGGTACGGAGCTAGAAATTGACTTAGCGATGATCTGATTAGCACTGCTCCATTTCTACAAATGCACAAACTTTGAATTGATTCACACAACTTATAAAGTTATTTGCTAATAAGAATAGAATTCAATGTCGGGTGGTGATGATACACACCTTTAATCCCAGCACTCGGGGAGGCAGAGGCAAACAGATCTCTGTGAGTTTGAGACCAGCCTGATCTACATAGTAACTTCTAAGACAGTCAGAGTTATATAGAGAGACCCTGTCTTCAAAAAAAAATTTTAGGTGAGAAGTGGATTGAAAGGACATTTGACATCAACTTCTGGCTTCCACATACAACTGCACGGACAGTGCACGCGCGCACACACGAACAAGCACATATTCACACATATGCACAGGAACACACACACATGCACACACAAATTCACAAAAGCATAAGTGAGTGACAGTTTTATTGGAACTTACAGAGGGGTGTAGGCCACTTCAGCTGAGGGGTGGTTGCTTTGCATACAGGGGAGTTGGAGTGGCCACATCTTGGCATTAGTGCAGCATGTCTACATGTAGAGCTTCAGTCTCAGGCCGGGAGCAGCTGTGCAGTGGAAGCTCCCACTCCACTGCAGGCCTTGGATATCAGTGTACTCTCCCTCACCTTCCACCCTGCAAAAGCGACAAGTGAGCTTGCTCATCCAGACACAAGCTAGCTGGCCTGGTATACTATATATATACACATCCAGTCTAAGGCACTTTACCTTTCTGCTTCCAATTTCTATTGAGACTCAGTGCCCTGCGCTCATATACTAGGAAAACACACTATTTCAAACAAACACTGTATCTATGCACATTTTGGTGCTCACAGTTTCAGGTTAGATGAACTAACTTTTCATAAAATCAAACAATCAACTCAAACTTGAAAACTGTATATTGGTTATTGGCTCAACCCAAACATTCATTTATTTAACAGATATCTGCATCGCCAGCTCTGCTTGCAGCACTGTGCTTGGGTAGTATTCCTTTGGCCCCACCAGAGTGGGGAAATGGACTCATATATGCAAACTGTTGTTTTTTCTCCCTTTATTAATATCAATGGAAGCAGTTGTGTGTCCTTGTTATAAAACTGGGGTCAAAAGATATGAATACCATTCTGTCCACTTAGAAATGTATCCACACTGACTTCATAACAATTAGGTAGAATTTTCATTTTTAGTATTCGAAAGGGATATTTGTAATGAGCATTCTTCCTGCCAGCCTAGTCTCAGAGTCATGTCAACCCCAAAAACACACAGAGACTCTATTAGTTACAATGCTGTTGGCCAATGTCCAGGGCTTCTCACTGGCTAGTTCTGTCTTAACTATTAACCCACAACTACTAATATAAATATTTCTACAAGGGCTGGGCGTTGGTGGCACATGTCTTTAATCCCAGCACTCGGGAGGCAGAGGCAGGCGGATCTCTGTGAGTTCGAGACCAGCCTGGACTAACAAGCGAGTTCCAGGACAGCCTCCAAAGCCACAGAGAAACCCTGTCTCGAAAAACCAAAAAAAAAAAAATTCTACAAGGTCTTATCTTACTGAGAACACCAGCCTCCTGAATCCTCTCTACCCTGTATCATATGGGGACTCTCTTCTTGACTACATTTCCCAGAATCCTCCTTGACTCCTACTCCCACCTAATTTGCTTCCCTATTGGCCAACCAATAAGACAAACATATACACAGAAGGACTTTCCCCATCAAATATTTATAAGTGAACTTTATTTCCTTTTTGATACAGCGTCTCATGTAGCACAGGTTAGCCTCAAACTCTCCACAAAGTCATGGCTGACACTGAACTTCTGAGCCTTCAACTCTCAGGTGCCAGGATTACAGGCACGTACACCATGCCCAGTTTTATGTGATGTTAGGGTTTGAACCTAAAGCTTTATACTTGCTACACAAGCATGGTATCACTAAGTTAAACTTTCCAGTGGAATGGTATTAAGTGAGATTAAGTTTATAAAGTTAACTTATGCTCATTTCACTTCTTTTTCCTGAAATCATGTGCTCAGAAATGATAACGGTAGGTATGTTTCTAGTTTTAACATTGTCTAGTTTTTCTTAAACTTTAAAATTAGCATAATAAAATGATCACGCACATCATGTCAGAATGAAATAAATCATTATGAAATTAACCACAGCCCTACTTTTTCACAAATACAAATAGAGATACTTTAAATTAAAGTTATTCTTGGGCTAAATTTGCTCAATAGTAATACATTTTCCACTCACTCTACACTAACAGAGACCACAGAGGCTATATAAAAGTCTAATAATCAAATCCAGGGTGGTAGTGGCACATACCTTTAATCCCAGCACTTGGGAGGCAGAGGCAGGAGGATCTTTGTGAGTTCAAGGCCAGCCTAATCTACAGACAGATCAGTTCTAGACCAGCCAGGGCTACACAGAGAAACCCTGTTTTGGAAACTCAAAAAAAAAAGAAAGAAAGAAAGAAAAGAAAAACAAAACAGGCATAATAATCAGTCAGGTGTGGTGGCACATGCCTTTAGAGTTAGCACTTGGGAGGCAGAGTCAGGTGGATCTCAGTTTAAGGCCAGCCTGGTGTACAGAGTGAGTTCTGGGATAGCCAGGACTATACAGAGAAACCCTGGCTGGCTGGGTGGGGATAGCCAATAATCTTTACAAAAAATGATATTCCATTTTAGAAAGCTATAATGGTCGCAGCTTCCCATAACTCAGCCTTTTGTGGAGACTAAATATGTCACAAATGCTAAAGCATTAATTAAATACACTATTTACCAAGCACAACTAAAGTGAATCTTTTAGAATTGTAGTTCTTAAATTTTCAGGTTACCTATTTTCATTGAAATTCCCGGTGTACTTTGCCCCAGTTGGGAATGTGTAAGTTCCCAGTCCATGAAACATGTTGTTCTTAAATTGTCCTTCATACACAGCTCCTGAAAAATGCTCAAGTCTTCCAAATCCATTCATCTGTTTGTAAGAAAGGGAATGCTCAGAAACTAGCCTTCACTATACACACAAGCCTATCAGCAACATTACCTTTATCATCTTTGTGTCACCCCTTGCTGTCACAAGAGCAGACGTTTTCAGCCTTCCTCTTCCCCTTACTTATTTACCATTATTCTTATTTACTGTTATTCTTTCTGTGAAGTCTACTAACTCAAATGTTCTGGATCTAGGGTATCTGAACATTCGGAGGGCCAAGGTGATGATAATCAGGGTCCTCAAGATACCTAAGTGTGTCAGAGGCCTCAAATAACAGCTGGTGTCACCACTTCAGGAAACACTACAGAGTAGTCAGGAATGTGAATTTGGCCAGGCAGTGGTGGCGCACACCTGTAATCACAGCACTAGGGAAGCACACACAGGCAGATCTCAGAGTCCAGCCTGGTCTACAGAGTGAAGAACAAAGAAACTCTATCTTGAAAAATACAAAATAATAATAATGAAGATAATGATAATAATACTAATAGTAATAATAGTAATAATGTGAATTTGGGGTAGAGTGTGGCTCAGTGGGAAAAGTACCCACACGAGGGCTGAGTCTAGAGTAGAAAGCTAGATTCGGTGAGTAAGCCTACTTGCTCAAGCCTGATAAGCCAGCTTTCATCCCAGACACTCATATGGTGGAGTGAACCAACTCATATATGCCATATCACTCACACATACATACACGGACATAATGATATTTTTTATTTTTTTGGTTTTTGGAGACAGGGTTTCTCTGTGTGGCTTCCGAGCCTATACAGGCACTCGATCTGTAGACCAGGCTGGCCTGGAACTCACAGAGATTTGCCTGCATCTGCCTCCTGAGTGCAGGGATTAAAAGCGTGCGCCACCAATGCCCTGCTATAATGATTTTTTTCAATGTGAACTTGTATTCAAGTAGAGCTGGGCACACATTCCTACTTTACCATCTGTACAAGAAACCTGAGTCTGACTTGTCTCATCTATAAAAAAGGAGGTTGTCAAGATTAAGTGGAAAAAATTAATATGTTTGGCCTTATTCACTGAATGGAAGCTGAGGAAATAATAATAATGCTTGTTCTCTTCATGAGCTTAATATTATGTATAGAATAAGAGATGCTAATTAAAACCATTTATCTTCATTATCGAGTCTAGTTTAAACACAGGTCTCCCTATGCAGGCCAGGAACCTGAGACCCTCGCGCCTTGGTTTCCTACAAAATGCCATTACAGCTATGAGTTGCTAAACTATCTTTACTAATAATCAACTGCTTAGAATCATTTAACCCATAGGCTCGATTATCCACTAGCAAAATAAGGAGAGCAATGTTACCTTGTCGTCTTTCCAGCTTCCTGTGTAGATGATGCCGTCAGGAGTGGTGTGGATGCCTGACCCATTTCTCTCATAGATTCCAGAAGACGCTCTTGTGCAGTCACCGTCTAATGAGGAAGGGAGCCTGCTGGAGCTCTGAGATGGGGAGGTGGACTAGGGCAACGTAATAGTTATGTCAAAGCCTATTTACAACCAGCCCCCACCCCATGGGGGCTTGCTTGGTCCTTCGTTTTCCAGCTTCACAGGACAAAAACTAGGGGCCAGAATGGAAGACAGATTCCACAGGTTTCTAAGGCATCACGCCTAGATGTAACAGTTTTGATTTAAATATCTATGCATCTATTAGGATGTCTGTTACTTCATTTAAGTGAGATAATATGCCAATAACAGTTTTATAAAATGAGCTGGTCTTGCTTTTAAACTTCTAAACTACTGAATTTCCTGAATGAAAACATAATTGAAATGCATGCTTACCATACTTGTCTCCATTTGGAAATATAAACTTTATCTTATACACTTCTGAAGATGCTTTAAGAGAGTGAAGAAAGTAAAGGTAAGTTTAAAGACTTCAGTGTCACAAAACCTATAATAAATGTGCTTTCAGCACTATAAAAGAGACTTCCCTCACACGATGCAAGCACCTCCTGGCTGGCATTTCCATTGTCTGGTGTAAGGTCCTGAGAACATAAGTAATTTTGCTACATGATCTATTTTTATTTTTAAAATCTTATTAGTATAAATTAACTTTTTGATGGGGACAGGATCTCATTAATGTAAGCCCTAACTGAACTGAACTCACTAAGTAGACCCTGTCTTAAAAACAGAAAAGAAAGAAAGGTGTTTTGTTTTGTGTGTATGGGTGTTTTGCCTAAGTGTGTGTGTGTGTGTGTGTGTGTGTGTGTGTGTGTGTGTATCACATCCCTGCTTGGTGCCGTTAGAAGTCAGAAGAGAGCAAAAGATACCCTAGAGCTGGAGTTACAGGGGGTTGTGAGTTACCATGTGGGTGCTGGGATCTGAAGGCAGCTCCTCTGAAAAAACAGTACAGACATGTTTTTAAAGACTTATTTACTTTATGTGTACATGCCACATGCATGCCTGGCTCCTCCTCAGAACTCAGAAAAGGGCATGAGATTTCCTGGATCCAAAGTTACAGATGTTGTAAGCTACCAAGTGGATGCTGGGAATTGAACCTATGTCCTCTGCAAGAGCAACCAGTGCTCTTAACCATTGAACCATCTCTGCAGCCCCAAGTACTATTATTTTTTTATTGTTCAGAATATGGCCTTGGCTCTGATAACCATAGCCCCTTAGGATGGAAAGAATCCGGTTCTTGCTCCAAAGCCACAGCTCCCCCAAGGCCCTGATCCCAGGTCATTACCAGCTCTGCCAAACATGTTCCCTGTTTTAGACAAGGCACTGTCTTCTGTCTTTATACATCAGAAAGCTTCAAGGACCCTGGCCCTAGGCTATTACTGGCTCTGCCAAGCATGCCCCCACCACCACGCCCCCACACCACAACCCCCACCCACCCACCCCCAGTTTTGAGGACATGTTCTTTCTCCATACATCGAAAGCCTCAGGAAAAGTCTTAGATCAGTGTAGCTCTCAACTGGAAACAGATATTTTCAAAATATGAAGTTGGGAAAGGGACATAGACACGACCGCTTTCTAAGTGTTCAGCAATGCTCATCAGATTATCAGTTCTGCTTGCAGTACCCACAGGAGCCATGCACTCTCCCTGCACCAGGCATGTCTTCTTTGGTTGACAAACTACCACTCATTCTGGAGTCCTTGCTCTGGCATTAGACTTCCTAGACGCCATTGTTTTCTCTGGCCTAAAGCAAATGGCTTACACCTCAATCCTCATCTTTGTACTAACTTAATGGATGAACCTATTATATAAGCCATGAAGGCTAGTGTCTAACCCTGTAGAGTCTACATATTGTTATTCTGTTGCCCTAGCTCAGATACAGCCTCTCTCCCAAAGTCTTTCTTATTTCTTCTCATTCCGAATCTCTTCTATTCTCAGAATTTAGGGTCCTGTTAAAACAATGCTTGTGTGTCTGGTATCCTATCACACTCACTTCAAGTAAAATAATGACCACCCTATGGCCTCAAGACACAACCATTAAGCTCCTGTTAAGCAGGACACTACTAAATACAACTGATCACACAAGAAACGGAGCAAGGAGCCCTCAACCACTCTTCAGGTTTCCGTGTCTTGTGCAGTTTTATTTGGGGGTATATTTTCCTTTGTGTGTGTGTGTTTGCTTTTAGTGATGGCTTTTGGCTGATATTCATGAGAAAGGAACGTTTTGTCCTGGGCCGACACATCGAGGAAACCCCATCTAAGGGAGCACCGTCCTTTAGGCCCTCTGCTGGAAAAGTGCAATCAAGTCTAAAACGCCGTTAGTGTCCCCTAGTGTTACAATGTGGGGCAGCAATGTATCACACTTCTGTGGAAGTAAAAATATCTTATTTCTGCTTTAGGATATGCAACAGTAGCTTTTTTCAAGATAGTTTTAATTATCACTCAGAATGCTTTCTTTCCAAACGATGACTGGGAAGCTAATAAAAAAATTTAAAAACACGGTGCCGGTACCTTAGCAGTCACAAACCTGTGCTGATTCCTGGTTGTTTGGTGGTGTTTGTTTGTTTGCCTTGTTCTGATTTTAAGGTGATGCCGGACGTCACAATTTTGTTCAGATGACTTCGGCCCCTGGAAACGCTGCTGTTATTATCAATGCATAACATACTGCTATTTGTCTTTATATAGATTTACAAATAGATTTATGTAAAGATATATACAAGTATAATTTGAATTTTTGAAAAATTCAGGTGTGCTTTCAACTTGTGGGGGATGGGGAGTACCCCGTTTTACCGTGTTGAGTAGGCATTGTGCAGAAATCCGCAGCCTAGAAAGTTTTTGTTTTTCGAGACGGGGTTTCTCTGTATTGTTTTGGAGGCTGTCCTGGAACTCGCTCTGTAGACCAGGCTGGCCTCGAACTCACAGAGATCCGCCTGCCTCTGCCTCCCGAGTGTGGGATTAAAGGCGTGCACCAAACACCTGGCTTCGTCTAGAAACTTTAAACTTTGTTTTCCATCTGCACAGGGGTAACTTCAGTGTATTAAATACGTAAGGCTTTATCTATCCACAGAAACTAACAAAATCTTCTCTAAATAAAGGGGAGACGTTCCCACACTCTGGATCAGGTGAGCTAGCAAGAAACCTCTGACTGCTGCGGTCTGGCACCGTCCAGGAAACAAATCCGGGACGACAGACTAGCGAACCAACAGCAGACGCGGAGGCCCGAGCCGTCTCTCCGGGGTCCCAGACGCCGGGAGGCCGCAGCGCCTCCGCCCCGGCGTGGACGCGGCGGCTGGCTCCGGCCCCACGCGCTCCGGGGAAAGGCGCCCTTCCCCCGCGGAGGAGGCGCACTCACGGGACGGAGACGTGGAGGTCAGACTATCGCGACTCTGCGATTCCCCCTGGCTCGCCAGCTCTGCGGCCTTAGAGGCAGCCGGGCGCTAGGACACAGCGGGGCTCGGTTGCTGGGGCGACCGGGCGACCTCTCGTCCGGAAGCAAACGCGCAAGGAGCCAATCAGAAGAGGCTCGGGCGGGGCGGCTACTGCGGGTGAGGTCCGAGAGGGAGGCGGAGCCCAGCTCGGACCCCGACCCTGGCTGCCGCCTCCTGAGTGCCGCGGCCGGCGACTCTACGAGCCAGGTACGGCCCGACGTGGCGTGCGCGGGGCCGTCCGGGGCCGGGGCTGCCGGGCTCGCCTGCCGCCTCCCCTTCTCCAGTGATCACATGCGGGGGCCGTCCCTCTGCTCCGGGCCGGCGAGCCGGGACGGGCGGGATCCCAGAGAGCCCGGGACCTGCAGCCGAGGCTGTCCGCGCCCCAGGCGCCGAGCGGGGCTGCTTTGCAGGGGCTGCAGCCCCGTTTCCTGTCTGCTGCTCCGTGGCGACCCGAGGGACTATTTGGGGAAGGGGCTGGAGAAGATGTGTGTTGGAGAGAGGACCCTGGCGTGACTAGGTGAACGGATGGAGCTGGGTGACGCGCAGGAATCAGATTTGCCTGGGAGGCAAGTGGAGTGGGCTCTGTTTTCATCACTCCAGCCCGGTGATGCTGCTGTACGTGGGAGCCAAACTTGGGTGTGAAACAAAGGAGCCTTTCAGAGCCGCTTAGGGCCAGTGTCTGTGGTAAAGAAAGACGAGGTCTTCCCAGGTTGTGGAATTTCCCCCTGCGGATTTCACAACCTAATCTGCATTCTATAGAAAACGTCTGGTAATGTGGTATTGGATGCCACTATAGCCAGTAAATCTGGGTTCAGATTTTTGTGCGGAAATCACAGCTCAAGTTGGAAATGTAACCTTTTGTGTGTCGGTGTGAGGCAACCTGGGATCTTTTGGCCTTTTCTGACGGTTTCTTAGTGTATGGGTGGTTTGGGTGATGAGGTGTTTGATGTGTGTGTGTTTTTCTTCCTTCCTAAATTAAAAAAAAACACAAAAATAGTATGCAATTATTGATGTACAGCATCACAGAATTCAATTTGTGTCATTCTCTTAGTCACCTTTATTTTATTTGTTTATTTATTGTGAATGCTTGTTAATCTGCTGTCTTTAGAGAACTTTAGTTTGGACTTAAATGTTCTCACCTTGAGGGGAGTCTGGAGTTAGAGGGAAATTAACATAATGAATTTTAGCCACCCCCTACTCCCCCGGACAAAGTTTCTCTTTGTAGTCCTGGCTGTCCTAGAACTCATTCTATGGACGAGGCAGGCCTGGAACTCAAATATCCACCTGCTTCTGTTTCCGGAGTGCTGGGAGTAAAGGCGTGCACCACGACTGCCCAGCAAGTTTTAACTTTTACATTGAAAGAGTGGATTATCTGTGTTTTGTTTCTGTGTTTATGGTGTTTGGGCATTTGGGGGTTCTCTTTCAGAGCTAGCTAATAAACAATTTGCCAGTGAAGCTGCCATTCATACGAAAACTAACGACAATCTTGGGTTCAAATCCCAAACCCTTCTTTTATCTAACTTTCACTCTGCAGCTGATACTGTTGCTAACCTAAATCAGCCTGGAGTCAGGTGCCACAGCCAAGGTTGTATTAGGGGAGATAAGTTAAAACTTTATCAAAAATTATCTGCGTTGAAAGCTTGACTTAAAGGCACAGACAGCATTCCACTGAGGCCAGATTACTCTGTTCCGTGTATACCTTCTGCACTGTTAGCCCAGACCAGAAACACTTACTTCTTGGGAGTTAGCATCCCATCCTGCCTCAGGTACTTGGGAGTTAGCATCCCATCCTGCCTCAGGTACTTGGGAGTTAGCATCCCATCCTGCCTCAGGTACTTTTGCATCATCCTGCCCCTCCTATCTAGAGCCAGTGGAGAGTCGGTGTAAACAATTTGTGCCTCCTCGCCCAATTTTTTAAGTCATTGCATTTTTTTCTCTAACCTGAACAACTATACTAGCTTCCTAATTGAGGTACTGGTTTTTCCTCATACACACTCCGGCCTTATCCTGACATCCAATCCCAGGGCCTCTGATTAATGTTCCGGATTTGAAACCTTTGCATCCGTCATAGCTGCTACTCAGAGCGTTCTATTCACAAGTATTTCATGACTCCTTTCCATTTGTTCGTGTAGGTTATCTGGGGAGGCATCTGTCAACTACTCTGTAATAGCCTTGGTTTTTTTCTAATTTTATGTTTTTGGAAGTTATAATTTCATCACTGCTGAATTCTTTTCCTCTCTCCAACCCCTCTCTTGCTTTCTCTTAAATCATGGCTTCTTTTTCTTTTATTGTTACATGTGTACATATGTTTGTGTGTGTACATATATATGTATGTATATGTGTGTATATGCATATACATATATATTCCTAAATGAAGAAATACTACTTGCTCAGTCCGTATATTGTTACTTGCATGTATAGGATCTCAAAGTTGACCACTTGGTTTTGAATAACCAGTTGGACTCTTCCCTGAGGAAAACGGTCTCTCCCATTCTCAACTTCTCCCAGTTGCGTGTAGTTTCTTGTCTAGGGTTGAGGCCCTGTGAGCTTTCCCCTTCTGTGTTAGCATTTCCATTGGTGCCATTGTTATTCAGGTCTTGTCTAGGCAGCCATATTGATGAAGCTTCATTGGTGTACCCTGACTGGTATTTCTAGGAGACACACTCTCACAACAGAGTTCCTGCTCCTCTTCTCTTACAATCTTCTGACCTTCCATAGTGATCCCTGAACCTCAAGTGTGGGAATTATGTTATTGGTGTATCTGTTGGGACTGGGCACCACACAATCTCTTGTTCTCTGCATTTTGGTCAATTGTAATCTTCTGTAATGGTTTTGTCTGTTGCAAAAAGGGGTTTCTTTAATGAGGGAGAACTGTTAAATTTCAAAGCTCATAGTAGAGAGAAAGAAGACAGAAAGGGACCAGAGTCTGACCTCAGCAGATGAGACTGTTAATTTAAAACAACAAAGGACAGACACTCTCCCACAGGAAAGAGATATCTGTGAGGAGGAAAGAGAATACTTGGGGTTTAAATAGAGGCTTGGGGATGAGAAAGTTAATGCAGCTTCAGGGGGTCTATGTGAGTGTACCCTCTCCCTTCTGATATGATCTATCTGCTCAATGGCCACAACCTGTCTTGGGAGACTGGCTGTCTCAGCAAAACATTTCCTCTCTGTGGCTCATCGATAATGGTTTAAGCAAGGCCAACTGTACCCTCATAGGAATTCTGTCAAGAACTATACTTACCTATGGGTATAAATATTTAGAATTAATTAAGTGGCAGCTGTTGGTTCTCTAAGATGCATGACTTCACTGGCTCTGGGTAAGTGGCTAGGTTTCCAGTATTGGGCACCATTTCTGCTTTGTTGATCAGGCATTAATTCCAAGTAGAGAGCTGTTGGTTACCACCAAGATATGCGTACCACTATTGCCCCCTTAGGCTTATTGTGCCTTGCTGGTTGTTGTATTTCATAGATGTTGAAGCTGGGTAAGACTTTGATTCTCTCCCTTGGAAGTTTGCATGAATGACACTTTCTGATACATGAAGACTAGTCTTTGGAGGAGGCTTTCAGGACAGATCCAGCTCCACTCTACTGGGCCCTGTGTCTGAAGTGCATGGTGTCTTCTGCAAAGGATACCTTCCACCTCTGGGGAGCAACCATTTTTTGTTGCTATAGTTTGGATATTATTTGCCTTCTCACAAACTTGTGTTGTGCCAAGAGTGGTGGCCTTTAATCCCAGCACTTGAGGGGCAGAGGCAGGCAGGTCTCAGTGAGTTTGAGGCCAGCTTGATCTACAGAGTGAGTTCCAGGACAGCCAGCACTGTTACACAGAGAAACCCTGCCCCCCCCCCAAAAAAAAACTTGTGTTGAGCCAGCAGTGGTGGTGCATGCCTTTAATCTCAGCACTCAGGAGACAGAGGCCAGTGGATTGCTGTGAATTCAAGGCCAGCCTCGTCTACAGAACAAGTTCCAGGACAGCCAGAGAAGTTACACAGAGAAACCCTCTCAAAAAACAAAACAAGACAAACAAACAAGAAACTCATGTTGAAATTGATTACCAGTATTAGGAGTTGGATTCCTTAAGGATGATTAAGTAATTAAAAGAGATTGGTACCCCCAGGGAGAGAAGTCAGTCTCACAAGAAAGATAGTTATTGTACAGTAAGGCGATCCCTCATGTCTTGCCTCTTCCTTAAGCCTTCTTGCCCCTCTTTTCTTCTGCCAAGACCTACTATGAAGCTCTGACTGTCATTTGCTCAGATGTAGTGTCCTTTGAACTTCCTAACGCTCAGAACCGTGAGCCCAAATACACCTTTAGTCTTTATAAATCACTCAGTCTTAAGTATTCTGTTCAGCAGAGCAAAACAGACTAGGTCTTAATTGATTATACCTCTGTTTACTACCTGTTATGCCCTTGAGAAAGTAAGCTTCACATGGCATGAATTTTGTCATAACTGTTAAATCCCCAAGAACTGGCACATATATGTTCAATAAGTGTTTGTAGACTCAATAAACTAATGAGTGAATCTTCATTCTCACAGAAATTATTCATTAACCTTCAGTCATTCATGCCCTAGTATGTTTAATTCCTGCTTTCTTCCAGATATTGCATATCCTAGAGGTACAGTGGCAATCAGAATAGACATAATTGATGCCTCCAAAGAGCTTCCTAGGTGTAGGAGAGGAAGACAAAATAAACATTCAAAACATACGTAAAACCATGAAGGATTTTGAAGAAAAATACAAAGAAATCTAGTTTTAATTTCCATATGTTTGTGAGTTGACCAATTTGTGCCTGCTTTTAATTTCTAATTTTATTTTAGTGACAGGGCATGTTTTGTATTACTTTTGGCTTCTAAATATATATTGAAGTAGGCTGGGCATTGGGGGTACACACCTTTGATCCTAGCACTTGGGAGGCAGAGGCAGGCAGATCTCTGTAAGTTTGAGGCCAGGCTGGTCTACAGAATTAGTTCTAGGACAGTCAAGGCTACACAAAGAAACCTTGTCTCAAAAAACAACAACAAAAAAAAATGTATTGAGGTAGCTGGGCATGATA